CAACCCCCCCCCCCCGTTTCTGCCGTGCTTAGGAAGAACGCCGTATGAGACATCAGGCATTGCCAAGTTTTTTTGTAAAACAATGAATTCTTGGGAGAATTTGTGAAATCGAATCAAATACTGAGCTATTCGGCGATTTTCACTTTGACGCACTGGAAAAAAAACAAGCGGGAAAGTTCTAATACTATCGTATTAGAAAAGCGCTCAGGTGTTAGTAAATGTATTTAGTGAAGAAAGGACGTATAAACTCCGTCGACTTGGCTGGGAAATGGAAATACAACATCAGCTGATAGCAAACAAGAAGGAAACCGTAAACGCGTATTTTTGTTTCCCGAAAATGAGCTCGCACCGTTGAGCTCATCTGGCGCGTTTTTTTTAGGCTTCATTTGAGTTCAACGATCAATTTCCATAAGAATTACTCTACCGCTAAGAAATTTTCTTATAGACAAACGATCGAAACTACCTGCGCATTACGTTAAAAGCATAAAATACAGTTTTCACAGCTTTATTTATTTTAAAAATGGACCCCCCCCCCAAAAAAGCCTACACATCGATGAGCTGGTGCGCCATTTAAACGCATTAGCACTAGTACACTAGTACTCAGAGGCAAGTCGAAATCAAAAAGCGCTGCCTATCGGCTGAGCGCATAATACTCTTGATTCAATCGGATTTTTGCTTGGATCAAAACGAAATTCGCTTAAATTAAGAGGCTTCGTTCTTGATTTAAGCTAGATTCTGATTGAATCAAGAGTACTTTTTCTTGTCGATGTTTTTAAGAGTCTGGACTCTAGATCCGATGTGTTTTTTTTTCCCCCAGTGTAGTATGCTGACTCATGCCATGCTTTAATATTAAACGATGTGCCAGAGGATGTTTACATTTATAAAACTGTATTGATTTCTTATTTTTCACCAATCTAATGCCGGAATCACACGCTGAATTTGGCAGCTGAATATGAAAGTCAACAGTCAGCGCTCAACACCTGAAATTTTAATAATTCGAGTTATTTTCATCCAAATGTGTATCGAATTTATTCGAATAGTTCAAACAAATCCGACATTATCATATGGTCGCTGAGAATCGTTGCTGAATTTTGTGGGACACGCGCAAAATTCTGGTATCGGGCCGATGACTTCCACATTCAGGCCACATTCAGCGTGTGTTTGCGGCATAATGTAAAATGTTTAGAAAATCCTTTTGCACATTGTTTTTTATTAAAGCATGGCCCGAGTTCGCATATCATTGTGGTAAAAATCGGGTAATAGCTAAGTATTTTATTTGATGTCATTATGAGTAGTCGAAAACTGCAATTTCAAAATTTGCCAATATTTCTCCTCCGATTTTTCAGAGTATCTTGTTCGAAGTTTGATGTAAAAAGTCTGAAAATTTCAAAGAAAAAGACTCATGACTGTCTTCAAAAATGGTTGTTTTCTGAAAGAAAATTTGGCAACATTCGAATGCTCATACGGTGTTCTTCGTTAGTGCGGCAGTTTGGGTCTGATGGCCACGTCAACCCCGCAAACCGACTTAAGTTGTCCCGCCGCTAAACCTGTCAGACGGCCGTCGGGTCAGCCAAAACGCTGTTGTGTTCGGTAATAACAGCTTAACTCTTGTGTATTTCCGGTGGAGATTTGTGGTTTTGCCCAGCTTGGTAGAGCGTCGGAACGATTAGAATTATGAATTGTCAGGGAGGCTCGGGTATTTTGTTCGTCGAGCGGGTGGGGTGAACGATCCGGGCTTTGAGGATTAAACGCTTTGGTTTTGCATTCCCCCGAGAAGAAACTTTGATAGGTCGCGTTTGGAAAACAATGGATTGACATTCATGTTATATATCCTGAAAACCAAAGACAAACAGAGAATCTCCACAATTAATCCGGCAATGGTGGAAAATTGTATTTAAAAGGATTTTTTGATTGATAGGTTCCGTTGGCACCTCTAGGCGCTCTACCAATCTCCATAATTCACTGAAAAATTCTCCTCAACGTGAGAAAATTCCGAAATTTTTTTGGTCAATGTTCCTAATTTGCGAGTGATTGGGTTCTTTTTAACAACAATAGCGTATGTAAAGGTGCATATAATTCAATTATTTAAATCCTGACGCAAGGAAAAGCAAATAAAATAGAATAAAATAGTAGTAATACGTAAAATTTATTTCGCTCCAAAGCCACTATCTATACTATAAGCTCCGAGGCCTCCTAATTTTGCGAAACTGGTAACGCTTAGTTCCAGCGTTCTACCGGGCCGATTTTTATGATTTTTGCGGCTATCGACGGGCAATTGTCTCTAGATAAGCCAACTCTTTTCAGATTTTCAAAATATGGCCCAGGTTTTTTTATATTAAGTGGTAAAGTTGCGAATTCTCCCATTTAAACAATGTAAATTTATATTTTTTGTCATAGTTCGTTTGAGCGTTCTACCGGGCCGATTTCCAAGTTTTTTGCGGTAATCGACGGGTAATTGGCCCTAGATGAGCCCGCTCTATTCAGATTTTGGATATAGGACCCAGGTTTTTTTACAATCACGTTATAAAAGTGAGTGAATTTTCAGAATGCTCCGAGACTGCTACCGCTATGCGCGGGAGGANTGTTCGTTTGTTTTGTTTTTTTAAAATTCCAGACCTTTATTTTTGTCAAGTTCTGCTTAAAAAAACTTCTCTTAGAACTGCATCTACCATAAAAAAGCCTAAAGTCATACGCGGAAAAAGTAGACTTTTAGGTTATTCGTTTTATCTTTGATTTTTACTCTACACATATGAAAGAACAATATGCTAATATTATATCAAAAACTAAAATAATATCGTTCCGAAAACGTACTTTATAATCACGCCAAGTTTAAATTCTACTCTCTCTCTGCTCTCAGCAGGTCTGGGATAGACTAATTCTATCCATCTCGCTACTTACTGATGTTAATGATTTAATTAATTATTCTTATCTCTCTGTTTAATGATTTGTATTATTAAATTAAGAATTCTAATCTCTTTAGTTGCTGACGTTTACGGACTGGTCGCAACATCCAGATTTTACGTTTTTTATTGCTGAGGTCCTTTTTTCCGTTGGCGGTTACATTTTTGTTGGTAGGTCATTCCATGAATGATTGCTTGATTTTCCATATATTCCCCCGCATAATTAGCTTTGATGTACCATAGTCAGGAGTCAGATTGGCCAGATTTCGGAGTTCAGTCAGAGTTCGCTCCAAGAGGGTTTCTTTTTACTTTTTTGTTTTTGTACTTATTTGAAGAGGATTTGGAATTTTTGTTGCATATCGACGGTGAAACTACCAAACCACGTATCTCGTTTGCGGTGTTTAAAAATCTACGCTCGCATTTTATTTTTTTGAAGTCTACCAAATCAATATCATTCCTTGAAATTTTCACAGAATTTTCTCCGCTCAAAGAGGAAAAATCACAGAAATTTTCAAGACTAGACGTTAAGTAGTTTTTCATTTAAAAAATAAAGTATGACAGGAAGTCTGCGACGTCGCAAACCGAGATACGTGGTTTGGTAGTTTCACCGTCGATATGTAGATGTCACGTTTTCTTCTCATTCCAAAATTTTGCAGTTCGCTAGCGGTTCTCATTTTGTGAATTATACCGCTCAGCTTTGTGATAGTCTCTTATATGCCTTCTCTTATTCGCAATATGGCCAATGAATGACCCGCAAAAGTGGCAGGACGTTTCTCCAGTGTGGGACTTTTTGTGCTCAGCTAGTTTCTCTTCGCTTGGTGAAGTTTCCCCGCAAGAATCGCAGACTAGAGGTCCTTGAAAATCAAAGGCATGCACATGTGAAAAAAAAGCGACAGTGAAATTCAAGGAACAGAGCTTATCCCCCCCCCCCCTAAAAAAAACTTCTTTGGATTTTGCACCACGGCGCATTATATATCTTGGAATGTTATGCGCGCACTATAAATGATTCATGTAAATTGACGTGAACAGGTTTTGTTCACCTAAAAATATACTCGAAACTCGAAATACTCGATTTTTCTCGAATGAAGCTACCTTGTCTAAAATTGATCTCAAAGTCGTCTACAATGGATTGTTCGTAACTGTAGTGCAATCGAATGAAGTTTAAACAAATTGAAGTATGTTATAATTACTATAGGATTATTATGGGATTAATTAATATAGGACTTATAGATATAGAAAACACAATTAGGTAACGCGGAAAAATTTGAAATAGTATCTACCTCCGCGGATGGAGTGAAACCGACCAGTGGCGTGGCATGCTTTGCGATATATCGATTGATCTTCCATTTAAGTCTATGGAAGAAGATTGATAAACAAGGTGTTCGCAACGAACACCTTAATAATCGATTCTTTACCATAGCTTCAAATGGGGGAATATCGATAGTCAATCATTCACGCCTCGCCACTGAAACCAACTCTTTTCAAAACGGACATTTTGCTCCGTCCCCTAAAGCAAAACGAGCTATTTTGCCGTGCTAAGGAAAAACGCCGTAAGAACCTTCAGGCGTTGCCATTTCCTTCGATAAAACGCGAATTTCTTGGTAAACTTATGAATATTTTCCTCCCAATTTTTCCAATAATTTTGTTCGCAATATCACCTAAGAATCCTGAAAATGTAAAGAATAAATATTCATAACTTTCCCCAAAAATAAACATTTTATCGAAGGAAATTTGGCAACTCTCGGATGTTCATACGGCGTTTTTCCTCAGCACGGCAGTATTGGGAGAGGTTGGACATGGAATTTTTCACTTAAACCCCAAATTTTAATTTTTATTTCGGCGTATTATTTTCAAATACTATCTTTCGAGGGAAATTCTACTAGGAAACCAATGGAAGCATTTTCAGAATTCTTCGTTCCTCATAAAAGAAGATATCGACGGTGAAACTACCAAACCACGTATCTCGTTTGCGGTGTTTAAAAATCTACAATCGCATTTTATTTTTTTGAAGTCGACCAAATCGATATCATTCCTTGAAATTTTCACAGAATTTTCTCCGCACAAAGAGGAAAAATCACAGAAATTTTCAAGACTAGACGTTAAGTAGTTTTTCATTAAAAAAATAAAGTATGACAGGAAGTCTGCGACGTCGCAAACCGAGATACGTGGTTTGGTAGTTTCACCGTCGATATGTTTTTGAAATTTCCTCATCATTTCCGATTTTATTTCTGATTCGCTCCAATGTGCGGCACCGGGGTACATATTAATTCGATTTTATCCCAATCTCATCATTTTATGACTGTGCGTGTACGAGCTTCGGTACGGACATGTTCGACAACTGCCCTCTCACAGTCTCGTTATTTTTGATACCGAATTTAAACTTTATTAACAGAAAAATTTAGTTTGAACTCATAACTTTTACTTTTCATAAAAATAACTTTTCCACAGCGGTTACGGGTCGCCCCTTTGTTAGTAATGAAATAAGTGTGGAAAAGTTATCCATTGAGCTTGACATCCATTCGTTAAAGAATTCTCAGAGACAATTTTATTTTCCACTTACGGTTGGGGTCCGGCTCTTTTGGTCCATCTACAAAGAAAACAAATCGAGAGATTATCGAATGAAAAACTGGCAGAACGAGAATGTACGACTTTATCGGAACTTGAAAAGACGAAGTTCAAACTTTAGACTTTTCATTCCGTTCACAAAAAAGTGAAAAAAGGAGCCGCAGCTACTCTGGCTCCGTAAGAGGGAGTGCGCCCCTGGTACCCGCCTTTTATTACGGCTGATATTTTTAGCTTCAGCAAGACGAAGTGTTCAACAATGAACAAAACATTTCACTGCATTTACAAAAATTGAGCCCCCCCCCCTTCCCAATCCAAAGCGCCTTCGGCGTCTTCGATACTTTGGTAACGTATTGCATGGTGTCAACGATCATGGTGTCAACAAACACAAAATCCGATCATGGAGTCAACGATTATTGCCATCGTGCTCGGGTAGTGAAACGCAGAAATGGGCCCTGAGCACGGTGTCAACGATCACGATGTCAACATACAAATATCTTCCTTATAAGTAAAATTAAAATGTTAAGTCTACAGGAGAAGTTTGGGTCACGTACGGATAGATTAGGTTAATTTAGGTTAGGACATGTACTTGCGGTTGGATTAGGTAGGTGAGATTAAAGTTAGGACAAGGCGCATAAGTGCAGTTTTCGAAAAAAATGAGAAATTAATGATTTTAAGTAAAACTATTGTCTTAATGCAAACTATTTTAAAAATTCGCTCCCAAATTCCAATTTTTAAGCATCAAACAATCAGTTTGAACTTTCTCTCCGCCTTAAGGATCCATGTAATTTCGAAACTTTAAACACGTATTTCTCGTTACAGCAATAACTGCACTTATGCGCTTTAACCTCCAAGCCCGTCAGTTCAAATGGACGATATTTTGAAATGAAGGAACTACTTTTCCAGCTTCTTCGTGAAAGCACGTATGTGCATAGGGAAACTAACGGCACATACGTTGTCTCTGATATAAGTCGGCAATAGTAGTTTCGAATTGAAAAATGTTTTCCAATTAAAACAGGAGAGAAACATGAGTGAAATAAGAAATGGTACAATTGAATGAACTCACCTGGTCCATGCTTAGCTTCCATATGGTAGTTGTAGTGCTTTTCCGTCTTAAACATCTCATAGCAAAGGGTGCATTTAAACTTTGCGAGGTCAATGGTCTGATGATTTAATTCGTGTTTCTTCAAATCTTTGTCTCGTTGGAAAGTTCTTTGACACCAGCGGCACGTTGGGAGTTGACGAGTCGTCTTATGGTTTAACTTCCATTCGTGGTGCCTCAAAGATTTTTCATCTTCGAATTTTTCTTTACACACACCACACGTCAAAACCCAAACTTTCTCCTCTAAAATATCCAGGGAAAATGTTTACATTAATTAAGGATTACCGAACGATGGACCGATAGACTAGACTAGACTAGGAATTAAGCACTAACAGCAATGCTTTCTCAACAGACTTCAACACAGAAAACGCTGAGCAGATCGAAAACTTTACAAAATCAAGAGGTGATCGAGAAATAAATGGCCGCAGTTTCCATTATAAACAGCGAATTCAAACTTCCCGCTAACAAAAACTAAATTACCGTAGGTCAAATAAGAGATATTAAAATCAACCTATACGTTCGACAAACAACCAGATCTTGGTTTTACGCTTGTTCAGACAAGGCCCATTTTCATTATGTGTGCTAGGGGTCAGTTTCTTTTGGATTTGGAGAACCCTTTAAAAAAACTCTCTTTAATAAATTTTGAAACAAATGGACATATTAAATCAGAAGGAACTAGGTGCATTTGGGCTGGGACTTGCATGTATTCTCATGAGTTTCAAGGCTCACGCCACAGTGCACATTTGATTTACAGTTAGTAACGTTCACACACTGAATCACGGACAGTAGGTTTCCGAAAAAAAGGTCTACTCAAAAAGTGTCTACATTTTTTGGTCTACAGTCAAAATGTCTACAATCAAGAGGTCTACTTTTAGTATGCCGAAGAAAGTAAATGTCTACATATGTATAACGTATCTATTGAAGGAAAATGAATACACGATGATTCTTCTCCATAGATACGACTAAATAAGTAACAGATGTGAGTTCACTCTACCTATTCCATTCAGAAGTGAACTTTCTGAGTATGGACTTTTTTTTAGAAGATATTATTATGTTTAGACATTTTCGTAGTGGACTTTTCAGTTCTAGACATTGTAAATGTAGACCAAAAAATGTAGACTTTCTGCTTGTGGACATTTTTGCTGTAGACCCTCTTTCTGCATACCCACACACTGAGGGGTCGAAAATCACTAGGTTCAAAAATAGTGCGAGTAAAATTTTGTAGGTCAAGTATTTTAGGCTGAAAATTGAAGGCCATTTGTTTTGTAGGTCCTGTGTCTAGGCTCTAGGGACCTTGGATACGAATATAACCTTCCTCTGATCCTTCGTAGAATACCCTGGTATCATAGGTTAAATAAAAGGTGGACCGATCCCCACAGAAAAAATTCAGCAGAGGATCGCCGGACTCACTTCTGAAGTGCATCCTGATATGACCTTTGAAGCGATCCATATTGGCCAGTGTATCACCACATAATCTGCAGGTAGTATACTCTTTGTTAAGCTTTTCGTGTCTCCATTTATGAACTTTTATCGTCGATTTATTTGTGAATGTCTTTCCACAATCGAGTTCGGGACACGTCCACGCCGGGGTGTCTTGCTCTCCACCTTCAAGAACGATAAACTTAAATTATGATAATGAAAAACAAGAAGACAATAGCGGCGAAAAATGGCCCATTAGATAAAGTCATGAAGAAAGGACAAAAACGCATGTTGAAATTGACAATGGGCCATGGCATGAACTTTTAGGACCTGGAGTCCTGGGTCCGACATCTCAATATTTCATCATTGCTCTCCCACTTACGTTGTCCAATGTAAAAAGGTGCAACGTAACAAGACACGACACTCCGAAGTACGTGAATGGGTTATCGAAAAATAAAGGAGTTCTCTATGGATCTGTGGCGTGGCGTGAATTACGATTTATCGATTGTTATGTCATTTAAACCTATGAAAAAGGATCGATAAACAGGGTGTTCGCAGCGAACACCTTAATAATCGATTCTTTACCATAGATTTAAATGTCAGAACAATCGATACATCGCAATTCACGCCACGCCACTGCTATGGATCCTCTTCCTCTGAGCCCTCAACTGCTGATCTAAATCGGAGTGCGAACATTTCTATGATTTGACATGTAAGTTTACATGATTCCTAGCAGTGGCGTGGCGTGCTTTGCGATATATCGATTGATACGCCACTCAAGCCTATGAAAAAAGATCGATTATTAGGGTGTTCGCAGAAAACACTCTGATAATCGATTCTTTACCTTACCTTCGAACGGCGAGATATCGATAATCGATCATTCACACCACGCCACTGATTCCTAGAATTTTCAATATATCCTACGGGGCTCTAGAGAGCCCACGGAGAAGCAGTGAATAGTTGTAAAGGAAATTGAAGTAAATTATGCGTACCTTCATCCTCAACTCCTGAGGGACTCCTAGGCGGAGAACCGAATTCGGAGAATGCTTCATCGTTCAAATACTCCTCCCCGCTGAATGGTTCATCCTGAGTGTATCCTGGAGGTGCAGTGATTGTTGAAATTGCAGGGTATCGTGGACTTGCGGGAAGTTGCGGACTTGTGGAAAATAGTGGACTTGGGGGGTTTAGTGGACTTGAGGGCATTAGAGGACTTTGGGGAAATTGTGGACTTTGGGGGATTCGTGGACTTGGGGGCCCTCGTGGACGTGAGGGACTTCGTGGACTCGGGGGAATTAGTGGACTTGCGGGAATTAGTGGACTTGACGGAATTGGAGGACTTGCGGGAAATCGCGGGATGATATAAGGTGCATTTTGACCAAACGAAGGATCTAACATTTCCCTTACATCGAATGATTCATCTGTAATGTGTCCAGGGGGTGGACTGGGAGGACGAGTTGCAGGTGCTGAAGTTCCAAAAATTGAATCCAATGAGGGATCGGTCCTGAAGAAATCATCCATATTGAAAGTAGGATTTTCGGTAGGATCCGAAAGCGCGGTATGCTGAGGAGTTCTTGGACGGGAATATCCCTGAGGTGCAGAACCTCCAGGGTATGAAGAACCTCCAGGATATGAAGAACCTCCAGGGTATGATCCTCCAGGGTACGAGGAACCTCGAGCGTATGGAGCACCCCCAGCGTATGGAGCACCCCCAGTGTGTGGATCACCCCCAGCGTATGGAAAGCCTCTCGCGTATGAAAATCCTGCAGCCTGTGAAGAGCCCCCGATTGAAAATGGATTTGCTCTGCTTGAGCCGTCTCCACTGTCAGTCCTGCGTTTCTTAGCTTTTTCTTGGACAGGCGCTTTACCCTTACCCTTGTCTGCCCCTCTCAACGCGGTTGATCCGGACGGGGGTCTGTCTTCGTCGGACCCCTCTGCCAGGGTCGGCGCGCACTCGATAATGGTCCGCGGTGTTTGCGGGACGATACCGCACGGGTTTGGCACATTGACGCTGCATTCGTAGAACTCGTCTCCGGGTATTCGACGGCACTTGGCGTCGGACCATACTGGGCAGCCGGTGTTTATTTTCAGCTCGTCTATGGCGCGGAACGCTTCCTTGCATGTTAGGTCCGTCGCCGCCTTGATTCTCCCGTCTGTTCGGCTGTTAATGCCGTGGCACTGGTTCGCCGCCGCGAGTATATAGTCGTATTGCGCCTGCGTATAAATTGGATTACGTTTTGCAATGAAGAACTCTGAAATCTCTGGCTCTCCCATAAGAACACGTATCTGCATACGGAGAACGATGGCATGTATGTTGTTTCTAAAATGAGCCAGAAATAGTGGTTCCTTATTGCAAAATGAAATCCAATTCAGAGAAGGAAAGCGATCAACTCGTCATTGGAGTTCACTGGGAATGGATTAATTCCACGAATTGCGGAAATAATTTTCTAGGAACTGCTGTGACTCACGTCGGTCACTTTAAAAGCTCGGGATTTTTTGTGTATAGCACAAGTGCCGAATTTTCAAATGTATTCGTGCTCATCGTGGACGCTCTGAGTACACGTACTGCAAAGATGACTACGGTTTTTTTTTTTTTTTTCCCAAACGCGTATATTTTTTCAGGATAATCAACAATCGTCTGATCTGAAAAAATGTAATTTTTTTGTACCATCTACTGGATATTCACGTCTGTAAGTTTTCAACGCTGTAGCGCAGCGTGGGGAAAATTTTTTTTTCGAACTTGCGATTGCAAACAAAATTCGTGTCTTGTGATAGGGACTAACAAATCAAACTCCAGACAGGATCCGAGTAAAGGGGGGGGGGTTAATTGGCATTTCTTAATAGCCTCATTCTTCCCCTCCCCGCCTATTTATTTGTATTTTTCTCCCCTTTTTTGACTTTCGCCATCACTTCTCTGTATAGATCTCTCTTTTTAAGGTGTTAATTACTTTGTTTTATTGGGGCATTATCAAATATACGAATTTATCAACCGATCAACCATACATTGAAGTTATGTAAAAATAATCCTTTTTTATCCACATACCGAATAATTTTAATTGAATTTCAGGAAAATGCAAAAACTTCAATGTGAACTTTGAAGTTAAATTGTTGCCAGAACCGTAAGAAAGGAAACACTGAACTTATTTCTTACCGCTTCTCCATGACTGTGAAGTAACATCAAAGTGAACAGCGTCAACACACAGCGCAGGTAACCGCACTTCTTTGGCTTCATCCTTGATAAGAATTCTTCTCCAATCCACCAGTGATTGGGAATGCTTCTTGTCCTCAGAAGAAAACGGCTTTAATATACATTAGGACACTCACAAAGGGAGAAGGTCATAGTGTAAAGAATGGTTACACCTGAATGATGAATAGACGCAGACGTGGCAGAAAAAACCACTCCAAAAATACTACGCAAAAGACGGGACTGAGAGTGGTTGGCTTAAATTCAAGAAACATTTTTTTGTCGGATCGACGTGCTCCTTTCCCCCTTCCCTACTAGTTCTCCACTTGCCCGAGTGTTTTTCCCGGAGCTCTCGACGTTAGAGGTGCTAGAATGAATTTACATTTTTCGATCGGGCGAAAAAAAATGCATTTTTTTACTTATTTTCTTCATCGCGTATGTTTTTGCCGAGCAACTTCTCGGTACCGGATGTTTCAGCCAAAAAACGCGCCCATCACCGGCAGAGACTACGCACCTCAGCGGGCTGATTGTTGAAATTGATAGACAAAGCGATAGACAAAGAAGATTTAGGGAGTATGGAACGATCCTATCGGTTGAAATGGGTGGTCCTTATAGACTAAGGGGGTAAATGATGGACTAACTATCGGGTCTCTCGTGGGTTGCCGTTAGTTTGTCTATTACCTTTGCGTCCTTTGTCCATGGCAACCACCCGCTTCCACCGATAGGATCCCTTCATATCCTTTGTCTTCTTTGTCTATTGCTTCGTCCATAAATTTCAACGATCAACCTGCAGAGCAATCAACGGAGAAACGCTTTCAAACGTCAATCGGCCGATAGTTAAATCGAAATTTCATCTAAACCTGAAGAATACACCAAACACTGGAAAAAAACACACATTGGATCTAGAGTCCAGACTTTTGAAAACACTGACAAGAAAAAATACTCTTGATTCAATCGGAGTTTTGCTTGAATCAAAACGAAATCCGCTTAAATTAAGACGCTCGGTTCTTGATTTCAAGAGTGCTTTTTCTTGTCGGTGTTTTTAAGAAGAGTCTGGACTCTAGATCCAATGTGTTTTTTTTTCCAGTGAAGTCCCTCGGTAAAAACTGAGCGAGCTTTGTTTTCCTCCATCCATCGATCATCCGACACTTTGAGTTATTCTCGCAGAAAACAACTTGCATTTATTCTTTCATCCGCTGGAAAGATAATGATCCACACAAAGAGGGTGGCGTAAATGCAGGGGCCAGACGCCACTGCTCGTAATATTACGCATTGCTGTCGCAGAAAGCAAGAGCCTTGCTTGTGTGTGGTAGGCGCGATAATCCTGAGTGTCTGTTTTGTCTCACAATTGCAGAATTGCATCGCCGGCAGAGATGTCAAATCGTCGCATAGTCGGACGTATTTCTGCGAAACGGAACTATATCGACGGCGTAAGTCTGCAATCACATATCTCGTTTGCGGTGTCTGAAAATCTCCGCATCTACGCTTTAAGACAAACCTCGTTAAAAAATGATTGCCATTTATAAGTCATAACTTTGAACTTTTGTCTTTTACTTTTTTCCCAGCTCCCAGTAATCCCAGCAAGCTTCTTGACTTGGTAATTTTCATCTCTGCCTATGTTTTTGCTTGGTTTTTTTCCGGTAAGAGAGCAGGATAAATTGACGATGCTGGGACCAAAATATTTTTTTCCGTAAAAGTAACATATAAGTAACATTATAGTAAAAATTTTAAAATCCATGAAATTGTAAAATTACGAGAGGTCTACAGCCCGATTGTTGGAATTATTTTTGGCCTTGTCGGCGAGATATGAAATGACGTAGCCGGAATGATCTGTGCCGGAAATGTATCAACTTTCTAGGTCTATTAATTAATAAGACTAGTTTCAGTCGAGATAATTCATTTATCTAGAAGTTCATTCAATCTAATTCACTTGAAGAATTGTCTAATTTAACTATAATGCATTTTTCTAATTTTGAATGTTAGTATTAAGTTTAATCTAAGTTGACCCGTTTGTTTGCCTTTTTGCGCATTTTTAACGAATAAAGTGATTTCTATTTCTATTTTATCAAAAGCTGCACTTATGCGCATTGCCTTCCAAGCCTGTTAATTTATTAGGAAAAAAGTATACGTATATGTATATGGGATGTAAGAATAACAACGGAAATAATACAAGAGCTTAGAAGTCATTCCATTTCCCTATCTGGCAACTACCCCTATATAGGGGAGGGTTCCTGCTCAGTGAATTCTGACGGAGACTCCCATTAGGGGCGAGACACGGCGGTCATAGCTCGATAATTGAGGTGTTATTGCGGCTCTAGACGGGCTTATAGTTGTCATAGTTATTTATGGTTATTATTATTCGACCGTCTCTCCCAAGTATTCGCACATTTTTCATTTCCTCGCAAACGTCTTCAGGGTGCACTGGCACTGCAAGCTCCGTCAACGGGGCCTTCTTCAGCATGATAGCACTCGCGTGAAACGAAATGCGGTAGGCACAACGCACCGGTCGATCCCTTTAGTTTAATCACCGTATTCCAAGTCGTTCCTAAAGGGTAGTTATGTGTTCCTATCTTCACCATGTAAAATTTACTGTCGTTGAGGTACTTACGCTTTTATCAGGTTCTACTGGGGTGGGTTATCGGAAACTTTTTTCTTCTTGGTCGATTCCGTAGACTTTTTTGCTTGCTGTAGACGAGAGGATTTTTAAAAATTCTGAAATATAAACTTTCATGAGCTTCTTAAAAAAGTAAGAAGTTTTAACCAACGGCTTCAGCTTTTTTTTTTTTTTTTAAGAATGATAAGGGAAAACAATCATGCCCGTCATATTAGGAAGATATGGAAAAAACAAAAAAATTATTTTATTTTTTGAAAATCCACCCAGTAAATCGTGAGGAAAGTGTACCCTAAGTTCAAAAACTGATGTTTTCAGGAAAATTCCGTCCGACGTTTTGAACACGAAGAGGGATCGCATCTCTCTGTGCGTCATAAACTTTGCATAACTTATTGAATAATCGAATATATTGAATAATAAGTAGGAATCGAAAGGCTGGAAAGCATACGTAAAGCTCAGCCCCACCCTCCTCCCCCTCGTAAGGTACCGCAAGGCTGTTAGAGGCCCCTCTCTCCCACCCTAAGATCTTCACGTAATTTATGGACGGCCCCTAATCCTTTAATATTTTAAAATCTTATTATGACATAAAAATGGAAAAAAATTTAAAATTTAAAAAATATAAGGAAGGAAAAGAGGGAGGCGATGCAAGGAGTCGAAGGGCGAAATTTTCTAGTTCAGGCTCTGTTTACACCTACCGCAGTATCACGTCATAGAAGATGGGTACCGAACCGAACTTGCGGTGTACGGTGGTTGAAAGACGATAAACGAGGCTTTCATACAGATAAAGTATAAACGTAACGGGGAATCTTCAACCAGACGACTTTTTGAATAATAATGATGAGATAGCTGCTCCAAAACTGACTTCAACTTGTAATCCGAAACAACGCTCCGGTTGGTTGCCATGGTGACCTGACCTCCAAGATAGGGCAGCCGAGAGCTTTGGGCTCCCACCTGTGTCGGCAAATGCATCCGATGAACCTTTTTGCCAAGAGGTGCTGGAAACTTCAAATAGCGTGGAAGAAGTCGGGGTTATGTATATGTATAGTGAGAGTATGGCCATTTTTTTTTACCATGGACCGCTTCTTCATTGATTGCAAAAAATAGGCGGATATGGTGCTCTTATGGCTGTAATTAAATAAACAAAATGGCGATTCAGTGCAAGTGTGGTATTACTTCTGCCTAAAATGTATTAATGTAATCATCGTGAGATCTAATGACGAAAAAGACTTTGTGACCAATTACAGGCTAAATTAACATGAAAATCTGAAGAAAACTATAATTTGAGCTGAACCAGAAAGAGAGCATTGGTATAACGATTCATCTGTTGAATTTTGTGGCAAGAAGGTTGGCATGCGCCGTGCTAAGAAAAACGCCGTATGAGCCTTCAGACGTTGCCAAATTTCCTTCAATAAAATGCGAATTTATTGGAGAACTTATGAATATCTTTCTCCTAATTTTTCATGGAATTTCATTCGTAATTGACTCCACAATTATCTGAAAATTTCGATGGAGTATCTTCATAACTCTCCTCAAAAATAATATTTTATCGGAGGAAATTCGGCAACTCTCGAATGTTAATACGGCGCTTTTCCTTGATGGCAGAATAGGGCAATTCGTTCACTTACAACCGGGTAACTAATAGAAAAGCATGGCCCAACTTAAATCGACAAAGCGAGGTGTGCGGAAACTTAAATACATAACTTGATGTTACATTAAAGAATTCGATTTTTTAATACTGATAACCGTATTTAATTTTCACCACAATTTTAGTGAATGCAAATGACTACTCAGCAGATTCCTCTAGTTAGTTTAAACTTCTGCCAATTTTTTTTAAGTTTGAAGAGTTTCTTTCACTACTTGAAAAAGAGTTATTCTAATAATAGGGTATCTAATCCTACTTCTTAATAGAGATTTCAATTTTTATCGATAAGATTTTCCAAAATTTAAAAATTTTGCTAAAAAACGCTTGAGGCTTAAAATCACTTAAGTCAGACATTGTCAACAAAGTATCAGTATCAGATAGAATATTCAAATCCGTATTTTAGTAATCTAAACCTTTTGCCAATTAACTTTTTTATCATTGCAATTTAAAATAGTAGTCCGATTATTACA